CCCTCGGTTAGTCACAATTCTGCTTGACAAGCAGACAGATTTTTATATTTCCGTGGAAATGCGTACTGATCACGTTGTTCGGGGAAATCGGTAACGAGCACGCGCTCTGGCAAAATATAGTAACGATCTTTCTCGTTCCTTCCTCGCTTCCCCTCCTTTGTTTCCTCGATAAAAAAATATCTGCATTGTATATTTTCGTTTAAACTTAGGTGGCCCCTCGACGCACGATACCACCGATCAATTGCCATAATAACGCCATGCGAATCGAATTTTGAAGTTCTATTCGTCGGAGATAAAAGGACGGATCCAATAGAGATGCCAACTTTTCTTACGCTACTGTCGGTACAACCAAAGTTTCAACATTTCTAATCATTCTTCATTGTTTGCAGAATACTCGAGGCTTATCTTGAGACTTCGACCGTTGTCAAAAATTAAACAATTTCGTATTTGCCCTTTCCTAAAACTCAAACAGATTATACCCTAGATTGAACAATGGTATCGTGCGATTAGGGTTTATTTTACAATCCGCTCTGCACCGTACTTATCACCAACGCGTTGTCTAGGTCGCTAATAGGAAGTCCTCGGGTGCCTGGAATTCTAGCAAGATCGTCGATAACTCGATATCGATCTCGTCACGCTCTTCTTCCCCGACAGAGTTACAACGTAGAAGTAAATATACAATGCTCGTTCGACGAAGAAAATATTTCTGCAAGCGAAACAGGGAACATCGCATGCCCCGAAACAGAAACCGGACTGGGAGAACGCGAAAAAGAGATAACAATCACGTGTAATAAAATATGCGGACTCTTCGCGTATCACGTATGGACGTAAGAAAAACGCTCGTGCAACAACGCTGCTCCAATGATCGTGATCTCGGCGAGAATAAAAATCTTAATAACCATAGTAATACTCTTTCTTTTATTTCTACGCAACAGTCTATAAGCCTCTTTTATCTGGATCACGTTTCGTCTATGTTTTAATGTTTAATCGTAATCTGCTCTAGTCGCCGCCATTTTCTAAGTAACTTTGAGTGATTCTCTTTTAATGTTCAGGACGCTTTCATTGTTCCCAATGTGGGTGAAAAATAAAAGGTAAAATTATTCGTTAAGAACCTGTTCAAGGATTATCTTCGAGAATATAGAACGCAATGTTAACAGACCGAAGAAACTGATACACAAGCGAGAAGTCGCAACGACGATCGTGTCTCTTTAGTCTGATGACAAAGGCTCAGTCAAGCGAAACTAGTTGTTAAAATAAATCCTCGGGTGATTAGATGGATTTAAAGATATAAATATAAAATCTTTCCTATCTTCGAAAGTTTACGTTCTCTGTTCATTCGACGTGTCCAAGTTTCCTTTTACCGATATGCGATAATTTCTCAGAGAGGAAAGAAAGCTTGGAATAAAAGCGAATGAACCTTGCATGTCACCTGAACACATCGAATACAATTGGGACAATGAGATCTCTTAAGCATCTGACGCATTTATAACCGGTGATGCGGGTATATGGAGTAAAACACTGAGATCGGTACCTAAAATATAACAGTACAATATACCTTGAGTATTATCCATTTTTCTGCAACGCTATCTAGTCCATCGGCGCGAAATTACAGCTCGTAGTCGGATCGAAACTTGGTTGGAATGTACTCTGGTTCGCCTAATCGCAATTTTAATTCTCATCCTTTCAGACGATCGTCGTTCTTCCCTTTCACTCTTCTACCTAATTACGTGTAATTTACTTAGAGCCTCGAGAGATACAACTGAAAACTTCTCGTGTAGCCAAGCGTTTGTTTTATATACATATTAATGCATTCTGTGCCTCGTGAGCGACTGGTAAACTACGTCATTCACTTTGTATTAAAACGAGCAAAGAAAGGTAAAACGGAAGGAGAAATTTCCTATTTTATCTATCTAATTTTAAACTCTACGAGACGCAGAATGCATTACACTAAGTGATCTTTGGCTTTTATCGCCAATTATTAATGAGACGCAGCGTTTCTTACATTGGTAGACATCATCAACCGCGACAGGAATTCTCTTTTCCTTTTTCGATGTCCTTTCTATCTAATCACAATTTCGTTTCTTTCTTTCTCTTCGTTACTTATGCTATAAATATGCGGTGTGCTTGCTGCTGTGCTCTAAAGCCGCAAGGACGTCTTGTTTCTGCCTCACGTACAATCTACCCTTTTTCCAGGGATTCTGAAGTTGCAGTAACTTGAAGTCATCCCTCAGGCAACGCTCCCTGGCACCAATCACAGCCACCAAACAAAAATTCGGCAGCTCATCGGCCGTGTATATGGGACCTTCTTGACCTTTCAGAACTACAGCCATGTTCAATTGCTTCACAACCAGGTTCACAACTTCTCTGGCTGTGGTCTTCGGAGTGACGTGCAATTTCAGGCTGGTTCCGGAAGCCAAGCCGGTTTCGTAGGCCGCGTAAACCTGCAAAAATACCGAAACTTTGCTTAGACGGTGTTGCTAAGTAGTGTACGTATTGTACAAATACAAATTGTCTGCTGTAAAATCAGCATATGCAGTGACATTTAGGTGGCAGCGCAGTGACAGTACGTTGCTCGATGCATCTGGTTGTTGTTAAAACGACGAGTAATAAATTAAGTAAAAGTTAGTGTTAAAAAAATAAAAGAATCTCTTACCTAATGGTAATAATGATTAAACATGACACAGATAAAGAGATATTATATGCAACACGCATTCAGATCAAAGATTTCATTTACCTTCATTAAATTATGCCTAGATTAACATGGATTAATCGAAACAATTGTGTTATATAGTTTAAAGCTCGGACGAAATTTCATGCTCTGCCAGATCGATAATACACGAAAAGCGTAATCTTGTAAGCGCATCTGAGCGAGACAAGCACTGAGATTTAGCGGTGTGTGACAGCTTACTCATATATCTGCTACATCGGTCTGCACTAGAAGACCAAGTGAGCTGTTTTTAACTACAATCAGGTTAGACTTGTGTTCCCTACAAGGAAAAATATTATTTAAACTCAATGAGTAGGTCTCCAAAAGGTAATAATAAGCTTTGCGGTTGAGAATTGAAATAAGTGTTATCTAAGAAAGCTTGCGTGAGGAATAATTCCTCGTTTAATGGGAAACAACCGTGACAAGTTGCACTAGCTGGTCCCAAGATTACTATGATCGTTGTTTGTAATTGTAATCCCGTGAATGCTGGGAATGAGGCAACGATCATGACGCAACTAAGACAAACACAATTCCTTTTAATGATTCGTGTCACAATTTTAACCCACTATACAGGACGATAATCCTGTTCTATCGTTAATTCTATCTTAGCATAAATTCTAAATTCTACTGAATAAATTCCTACCCTACGCGTAACGAAATATTACCTGAAGAATGCCAGGCAGTGGAGCCGGCATCATAGTTGCTTCATCCTTCTCTTCCTCCAGTTGACTCTCCAAAGAACCAGTTGCCGTGGCTGCAACACTAGCAGTAGGTTTGGTCGGTTTGCTCTTCGTATGTCCGCTCTTTATGCAGACACTCGAATTAGGCGTGGAATATTCATCACTACTGAGCGAATGTAAACTGTCGGAATTGGTGTTGCTGACGCTTAATAGACTTGTCGTATTTGTCATGGCTGTCGACACGCTTAAAAGCGAGCCGCCGTAGATGATAGGCTTAATGCTGAGTAAGGGACTGGTGCTGGCCGACGCGGACGTGATGGTAGCTGACCTATTTCTGGGACTGTGTTTGTATTTTGTTAGGATCAGAGTGTCCTCGGATTTGGAAGGCGGTAACCTGGTGTTCTGTAATGGTACCAGATGATTGTTGCTGCCAGCGCTGGTTGTGTTGCTAAGATTGCTGGTGCTGCTCAGAGGTACAGAGGATTTTGGATGTTCTGAGCTGGTCGATACATTGGAAGTGTTGCTGCCTTTGCGAATGTACTGGCCACTAGGTAATTGTTGCTCGCTTTTACTGAACTCGGTAGTGAGTAGATTCGAGGAAGAATTGGACACGTTAGGACCTGGCCAGCTACCTCGACCTGGACTAGATTTCACCAGCTTCGGATCACGTGGCGGTAACTGGAGCAAACTTCTCTTCAGACTGTTGCTGTTACTGTTGCTCTTGTTTCTGTCGAGGCCGAGCAGGTGCTTCATTGAAATTCCAACCGTTTGTGACGAGCCCTGCAGTTACGAATTATAGAGTTGTCTAAGATGATATACTGGACTTTAGAGAATTGTTTTTACACAGATCACAGGATTGGTCAGTTAAAACTTACGCTTTGCTGCGAAGATCCACGATCTCTAGCAAACGTGATCACATCTATGAGCCACCTAGCTCCCTTCCACACGGTGTTTACTTGAGTCTGAAGATCTTGCAACCTAGTCAATTTATCCTTTGCTACGCTTAACTCCAGAGAACTGAAGGCTTCTCTATGATTGTACTGGGCTTGCGCCGTATCAAGTTCCAGAATGCAACTTAATCTTGAGTATCTGTTAATTACATCCTTCTGATAGGTGTTTAGATGAACCATCTCGAATACTTGGATAGGCAAGGACAGAAGATCGCCACGTTGAAGGAGGATTTCTCTGGTTCCAGGTACACAGCAGGCGGTTTCTGCTGGAGGCACAGCGATCAGAAAGGACACATCGTGAGTAAGATCGATAACTTCGGCGTCATAGAGTCGATGGACCAAGGAATCTTCGGAACTGATTTCCATGTAATTGAACAATCGCCTAGATGTTGCAGCGACGAGTTCGACGAATAATTTTTGCTGTTCTGTACCTTGGGATTCGTTTGTAACATTTTCTTTTTCTTCGCAATCTTTGACCGATGCATCTGATGCGTGAATACGAGTTATCCTTTTCAGATAATCCCATTCTTCTCTATAATAACGTAAACGATAACAATTAATATTAACTCTATAAAAATACCTATGTGGGCATAATTTCTGAGGACACGACACTTACGCAGAAACATGTGGGTTGTCACGGATTTTACAATGAGGTAAAACGTTAGGCGACTTTGCTGGTACCACGACTTGAATGAGATCGACGCTACTCTGCATCTTCAGATAACCGAGATAAAGTCCCTTCGACAGTTTAATACTACTAACTTGGTGGTAAGTCATCTGTTCCTGTATACTGGCTATTAAAATATCCGCGACGTTACTGTCTTCATGAGTGATAACCTTTTTTGTAACTTTACTGAGAGGCAGCCATCTGCTGTTCAACACTGAGATCAACTTTGGAGATTTTATGTAATTCACTGTAGAGAAAACCAGGGTGCCTTGAACGTCTCTAATGGGTTTATGGTACAGTTGACCAAGGTCCTGTATACATAGTGCTGCCTACAAAAACCAGCAATGTTTGAGAATTATCGTCAATTTATTTATTTTACACTTAACTATGATAAATCTTAGAGAGTTTTGTAATACATAGTACAAACCTGCATTTGTGCAGCAGCCTGTAAAAGTTTTATCCTGAAATGATTTGTTGAGCTGCTATGACTTTTCTCCATGTCTTGTCGAAGAACTTTAACATCGTCCCAAGTACAGCCAACTTTCATAAGCCAATGGAAGTCGTTGTAAATACAGCTAGGATAAGTCTCGTCGACTTCGATCACAGGTAAGAAATCCTCGTTCGTTACCAACACTTTATCCTCGTGATAGAGTAGACAGGCGAGGAAGACCCCGCGCCTCAGGTTCTTCTGAAACTTGCTAGTTGCCGTGAAGAGCTGCTTTATCGTTGTCTTCTTCTTGTGATTACGCCTCTGCACGGCCGGTGTCTCTTGAGTGTACTCTGGTCGCCTTATGTCCGTGAATAAAGTATTCAACTGCTCCAAACGGCCAGCAAACCTTGGCACTCTGCCATCGATGTCCCTCCAGCCTGTAACAATAGTTGTGTGTCTTGACGGTACTCCAAGTTTCATGAATCGCGCGAAATCGAACCTGACGTAACAATTGCCATGTGTGCAGTGCAAATTCTAAACTTAACTCGATTCGAATGCAATCGAGCGAAACCTGGACGTGAGCTAAATGCGAATTACATTCGAGATGGAATTCGTCCTATATTTTCCAGCCGTTACTCAGTGTTTTACATGCGATACATTTCCCATAGGATGATAAAATAAATCGTACTACTAGGTGTTACGTGGGCAGGGGTCGAGTTCCTGAACCTGCTGTAACCCTTCAAATTGCCAGCAGCCGCTCGAAAATAGTACTTCTGTCCCTGAATAAGATCGTCGATCCTGCATTCCCTCTGTTTCATGTCTAGAACCTCTCTCTCTCCACAAATCACTGAGAAATCTTCCTTGATGCTCCACTGAACCTTGAATTTCGTGCAGATAGGGGAATCGTGGGAATCGGGTTCCTGGAACCTCATTGTTACCGAGTTTGTTCCCGTAACATCCACTGCGACTAAGAACGGCATGTCTGGCGGCCCTAAGTGAAAATTAACGTCAATTTTACATCTAAATCCAACTCGTCGTTACATTATCGTGCATATTTATATTTCTCAAAGACTTACGCGCTTGATCGAACCCAAGCAACATTTTTCTAAGAGCTCTAGCTCTTCTCTCCCACAAAGCCAGCTGCTTTTCTTCGGCGCTACCGCCACATCCCGTGAGATTGTTGTGCTGCGACGAAAAACTTGATCTATGACTGCTCGGAGGCTCCAGAAGGGTAGTCCCACCGCTACCGGAAGTGCTCCCGCCGAGTTCTTGAACTCTGTGTTCCGCCTCCAACAACAACGAAGCCAAATGACTGCCCAGGGACTCCGGAGATTTGACTGTGCAACGAAACCAAGAAAATTTTACATTAAATTTCCGCAAAATCTTTCGACATACGTCTCAATTAATTATCCTTACAATGGATAATATTTTTCATAATAAATGAACATAGAAAGGCACTAACGTGGTCTTTTACCGACCATTGTTACTTTTTCATTCAACTTTCGCAATTTCACATGCACACAATTTCGAAGTTTAAAAAGCAAAACTAGAATTACAGTACAAAATAAAAATCGTTTCACAATTGTTTGACCCAGTTCACAATTTTCTGGCACAGATGTCCACTCGCTTTTACACATTATGAATGAACTTTGTTAGGAAACAATTTGACTCTTCGAGGGTTACTCTTACCGGTGGAAAAATTATGAAAAAAAGAGAGAAAGAGAGAAAAGGAATGGTCGACGAAATTCAAAAGGGAGCCACTGGGAAGCCGTGTAATCGAGCCAATTGCACGAATCAACGTTGTTTGTGAACGGAGAATCGTGCAAAAATCATCCAGCTAATTGAGCCGATTCACTCGTCTCCCGATGTTTATGAATGCAAAATCTGCGGTGGATTGCATCCGGGTCGCGACCGTTTCGCCACAATTGCGTCCACATCAGATATCGATTTCCACTTTCTGTCGAGAGACTTTATCCCAGCAGGGATCACTTTACAACTTTCGATATGGTTTCTGCGAGCAAAGACGGATTAATAGGACATCCGTGCTAAGATAATTTCCATTTCTTTTCCTCGATGAACCTTTTAAAGCAACATCGGTTCCCCTAAACGTTCCCAAGCAATTTTTCCAAAGAACGAAATTAAATCTGAATCGTTTTAAATTTAGGAAAGATAAAAAAATAAACGTTCGATTTACGACTGGGAAATTTGATATTTTCCTATGGATAATGATTAGACAAGAAGCACTCACTATCAGCGATAAAACAGGCTTGGAAAAAAGAAGAGATTTTAATTCGAGAGACTTTAATGCCAGCATGAATCACGACGGTTAAGACAGCGTTACATCGTTAAAGTCTCCGTATTAAACAAATGGCGAGTGTAATGTTGCACACCGCATAAAACTTGGCGAAAACGATGAAATTCCATTATAAAAGCAATTTCGTTCTCGTAAGAAAAATTATTCGTCTCGCATAAATACCTCGGGTTCGTTTAAGTGTTGCAGTTAAAACTTTTAATCGAGGAATATTAAGTCCGTAGCCGTGGCTCGATAACACTGGTATTAACGAAGTAACGCAGAACGAACGATATTCGACGCGAATTCCATGTAACGTTGAATTATTTAATGAAATAGCGCGGCGGAATCCAATCGACAAATTGCACATCGACGGTTTAATGCGCGAGCTTGAAAGCTTCGTTTCATTCGGTGAATCGGTAATTCGAATTGCATCGTGCAACGGTGGCGAAATCTCCTCGATTCATTTCGTAAAATTTTGCCAGTTACATCTGGTAACAGTATCAACATCAACGTGGACCTATCGGGCCGACCGCAAACGCGATTGAAAATTCCCACTAATTTGCGTGCGATCCCTCTTACGCGAATTGCATTCGATACACTACGCCCATTATTCAGAGATACGTAAATATTCTAGATTTCACCGATGTATCGGTCCTCGTAAATTAATAGAGAATTACAGTCGTCGGCGAGAGTTAAAATATCTGGCAATTGTGCACGTGCCTATTTCGCAGATCGAGCTTGGCAGTTTTAAATAGACAAACGCAATTACATTGTTCCGCTGTTACAATATCGAAAGAAGAAGAATGAAAAGAAGAGTGGCGAAGTTTAATTATCGATGAGATTGTACGGTTGTAATTACATTCGTAAATGAATAGACGAAGAGAAAGGCTCGATGGAAAGTTCTTCGCTTCTTTTCACACGCGCCGCATATTCTCGTTTTATTTTTCGTCCCCCCGCAGTCGAAACGCAATAAAGCTCGACGGCATTTTTATTACAGACTGCGGAATCCTAATTGGAATCCCATCATGTCCGACTATTTTTTCCCCCTTTCTCGACCACTAATAAAAATGGCTCCGCTTTTCTCTCTCTCTCTCTCTTTATTTCCCATTTTTGCCCGCACTAATCCCACGTTGATTTTTCAAAACTGCAATCGTGATTGTTCGTCGTCGACTGATCGTTGCAATTTATTCGAATAACTTTCATTGGAAATTACATCGTTGCTGTATCACGTACAGTCGCATGAATCAGTTTAAGCTACGGACTATTATTTCAGAGGTGGAAATAAAGAGATTACAAGGCTCCGAACCATTCATCAAGCTCTTCTTGTACATTTATACTTCTTTTTTGCATAGTTGCGGGACAAGCGGTAAATTTGCACGTGCATTGTTTCCCGAAACAAAGAGGATCGATCAAAAGGCCTCCAATTTGCCTTCTTTTGTACCCTTCCGCATGGAAGTTTACCGCGTTGTGCAGGAAGAATATGAGTTTGATGCAAGAAGGCATACGATTGCCAAAAAATTCCAATTTTCTCGCTGCATTTTTTCCAATCTTTCCATTCGCCATATCCATTCATTTCTACCTTGCTTTTCGCTTTCCTATTCAAAATAAAATTCATCACTTTTATTTCAAATCCACGAATAAGCGGTAACAAATCAACAATAGATAAATAAAATAGGATATAAAACATGAAGTATAAATAGAAACGTTGGAAGTTTAACAGAGGTATTTATAAAATAAAACTTCACTTGTCTTCCATCTGAATCTTTCTTCCTTTCCTCGCATACGCCTTTAAAAATATCGGGCACTTAAAAATGACGCTTTAAATCGCGTCGATTGGAATCGTCTACCGGTTCAAAATCCAGATGAACACGAATGAAATTTACCACTGGATTCCATAGTACTTACACTGGTTACCCTCCTGTGCGCCGAACGCGACCAGCATTTTTGCAAGCGGCCTATTGTTGCTGAGCACCGCAACATCCAGGGGTGACAGGCCGTCGCTGTTCACGCTGAAAATCCAAAACCATCGTTATTCGTGGGAAGAGATTAATCGTGGGATTTAATGCTAAATCACCGTGAAAGCTACGGTAAAATAATTCATCACGCGCTGCGACCCATCGTTGACTTTGGCCGAGAGAAAAATCCTACTATGAAAATACGCGCGATATATCACGATAAACGTGGATGGTACTTTCGACACGAGCGACAAAAAAGAATCAATTCATCGGTTATGGGTGAAACATTCAAATGGAATGAATTCGAGAGCCATCTTCATCGGGATGAAAGTTGAATATACATGGGCGATATAAATCTATATTAACCTAAACCCATGGAAAATTCCAGGCAATGCCCATGTGCCCGCGTTCGGATGGAAAATAAACGTTCGCGCCTATTTCCGTGAGGTAATCGGCATCAATTTCGTTCTTGGATAAACGCGCTTTTGCGAACTGCCATTAGTAAACTAGGACAAAGAGAGGAGAAGTGGATAAACGGATTATCGCGGCAGCGAATGGACGTTCAGCGACGATTACGACGCATATACGCCGGTTGCAAATGCAAACGTCGATTCATGGATCTCGATCATTCGATTACGCCGTGAAAGTTCGATACGTGTTTGCTGTTTCGTGCTGAATTCCATGCTCCGGAACGTCCGACTCGATGTTCGAGCTCGATTCGTCTTTGAGGTCAGAGGTGAATTCATCGTCGAAATTACTTTAATCGGTATAGCCTCTCAACGTCAGAGTACTAATTGAAGTCTTGCTGTAACGTTCACCGTTAGATGCAACGGCGCGAGATCAAAAACTGGCAGAGCAATTTCTTCGTCGGACGGTTCTCCAAACTGCTACTTTTCAGGTATACTATTCTCAAACGCACGCATTAGCGTTAAGCTTCGAAGCTCTCATTTGCACAATTCTTTCTTTATATCCATTGTCCGAGTTACTTGAGAAACTTTTGATTCAGATACCTCCAGTTATCTCGATATCAAATCTCTATGCTCCTTAAGCTTCATCCTGGATTCAGTTTACGCTCGTATCTGCATCTTCTGTCGGGTAAAAATGAAATATTAAAGAAAATTCTTCCTGATCTTTGATAAATATTTAACGATGCATTGATGTTTAATAGTAGAGCGAGAAACAATACGTGTCTTTCGTAACACCGAATGAAACGTTATAGCAGAGCAACTCGTGGCTTAAATAGATTATATATTGAATGGATGTACGCCATAGTGCACAGCACATGCTGCGGAATATCTGCATCTATGGTGTCCATTTACTCGATGAAATCTAATTATCGTGGGGAATTGCTACGTATCTAACGAGCCTTATGTTGCGGATCGATACGATTACAATGTAGGAACCGTGTAACGTGTCGAAATGCGTGCGGGGCTTTGTCTTGGGGAAACGGTCGTTGCATCGAACGCCAATTAACGCGAGCCAACGGAATACAAGGCACCGGCAAATTAGAATTTATCGTTCCGTGCCACGACTAGCTTCGTTCTGCTTTTATTAAGCCCTCTGACTGCTAATAAAGCATGTGTCGATGTTCGTACGGTGAGATAAAATTCTACGAGAAAGCAGTTAATGGGAGCAGCCGCTCGTAAACATTCTCATTGTCTCCGTGATATTTAGTGGATCGCAAAATCGAGAGATTTTATGGCGACAGGATACGAGCCAGGTCTTTTGCCTTTTGCGCGTGGAAATTATAGACGAGAAATGGAGAAAACGGTAATCGAGTCGATGCTTGCAATAAGTATAACTGCATGGTACTGTGCACGTGTGTAGCTTATGCCTCGAGTATCGATTCATTCGAAATTTCTTTCGAGCCAGTAACGATGAATGAAATATTTCATTATTACTCTTATGATTCCATATTTTTATTGCTCTTGTGATTAAAAGTGTTGTACTCCTTCGTCCATAAAACTTTTATACGCTCTTCGTGAAACGTTGTTTTCCCATAATCGATTCTTCACACGCGTAGTCCTTTTCTCGTTTATGTTCCAACTTGTTCACTCAGTTGCAGTGATTGTAATGACACATTTTAACACGTTGAGTGCTACGTCAGTCCCTAGGGACTGACGGTGAACTTTCCGTCCAGGCGGCGTCAGTCCCTAGGGACTGACAGTAGACTTTTCGTTTGGACGGTGTGGATTCTAGGGACTGACAGCCAATTTTCCGTTTGATCATCATCGGTGCGTAAGACTGGCATTGTCAAGGGTTAAATTATCAATGACAATTAATATATTGTAAAAATTTAATTCCCTCTGCTAAAGTAAATCTTTACACTTCCGTGGCTTTTTTCGACTGATCGTTTCTTGGTGATCGCCTTTTTGCCTTTCTGGCATTCCCCACCCCATTATCTTCTGTTTATAATTTGTATATTTGTGCATTGGCTGTACCATTCTCACAGTCCAAACGACAAAGTGAAACAAAGTAATCTTCTGCTCATAACCTTCGGTATACTTGAGCGCTCGACATCAAGTGCTCACTAGCTGCCGCCTGAGCGGAAAGTATAGCAAAATCGGCGCTGCACTCAACGTGTTAAGCAACGCATTGCATATTTTTGTGGAGTATTCGTTGCGAGTTCCAATACGTCACATCCCTCTTGTCCTCGAAACTCGAAGAAGAATCGAATTTACGAGGCCATTTCGAGCAAATATACGACGAGAAATCTCTCTATGGGATCGGTTGAAATATCCTAACGATAGCGCGATCCTTATTGCAGGCATGCAACTAGGTCATAAAATGGACGTCTTATTTCGAGTAAATCGTATTTTTGTCCCGTTAAATTGTCGAAGACCAAAGAGTAATTTTTGGGAAATAAATCCATCAGCTGGAATTTCCATCGTAAATCCTGAATGCGCGTCGCGAAGAGGGCCATATCTTTCGCTTCCGTTGACATGATACATTCTTCCGCCTGGAATCAACCATGAATTCGTGGTATCGTAAATCGTTATCGAGGAGTGAGGTCGGATCTCGTAAAACAGACCTGAATATTTTTCTGTCCAACTTCATTCCTTGCGATTCGATGAAACGTGGTAGTTTCGCTGCTCGTGAAACGATCCTACATTCTGGAATTATTCCCAAATTTTCCTCGTTAATTCCACGACGATAAAGTATCCCACGTTGTACAACGACGATCGAGAGTGACTGGAATTTCGATTTGAACTTTCAGATTTCAGCTGAAAACGCATTTCGAGAATGCGATGATGTAAAAATAAGTAAGAGGAAGAGACGATGATTATGCAACAACTTTTTAAAAAGTAGGATCGGTAAACAGTCGAGCCATACGTTCCACGATCCAACGTTCAATCCTATGTTAATTGGCTCGTTTTCTGTAACTGCCGGGGAAATTAATTAACAGTTGCAATTAACCTACATTAGAATCACGTGGAGCGCCACTGTTGGCCAGTTCTTTGCCTCTGAAATCAGCGCGTTACGTCGGCAGCCTTTTACGATTCGCCAAGTGTTACATCTTGTTTTCCACTTGTTCGTCGCTAAATTTAATTCCAAGAGAATATTTCCTCGGCCCCGGGTCGCAGCGTGGATAACCGGGGTCGCTTTTAAAATGCTAACACACTGTCAGCGCGAGATTCCATTAAATACGGAATATCCGAAAAGCTCACCTGTTCACGTCCACGTCTGTCGACTCCAAAATTGTTTTGGCTTTGTCCAGGTGGCCATGTTCCACTGCAGCGAAGAGAGCTGAAAAACGAAAAACGTGTGATAAACTAAAGCGCGTGTACAGGATTCATCATACGTCTCCCACGATTCATAAAGATTAATAGGACGAGAAAAGAGAGAAGGAAAAGATGAAAAAAATGTCTGCTGACCCAGAATTACTTCTTCGCTTTGGAGTAAGCGAAATCGGGCACGTTGAAGAGATAAACGAAAATCTAAAAAGAGTGTGCGTTAAAAAATGGAGTAACGACGAAGATAGTGGAAAGAAAGGTGAGAAAATTCGGTAAGAAAGTAAAAAACGAAAATAAAAGATACCATGCAGGTGTATGTTGAGAGACTGTGCCGTTAGAGGATTGATGTGCACCGACGATATATTGTTCGTTTGCTGATTCGGCTGCTGTTTTTTCTTCCCGAAACCCTCCAGGAACTCCATCCCTTGCAAAGAGTACAGCTCTGCGTGAACACAAACGAAAGAAACTGAATAAAGGAGACCAAAGGGGGGCAAACTGCGACGAGAGGCTTACGCGGTGGAGGTAAATAGAGAATCGCAACTGGACAATGGCAGACACAAGGACTTTTAAGCTGGTGTACCGAAGAACCAGGTCTTGCTACGCTAAGTTCATTACGAAGGCCAACTGTTGCATAATCCATAGGGAAAGCGGAAATCTTTTCGTCGCTTCGTTTCGTGGGGGTGTGTGCACGTTAATTAAACAGCCTTGCACAAAGTTAAACACGGAGAGTGCTCTCGTGAAAAACACGGACATTCTCGCTATTTTTCTTTACCATCGTGCAATTTTCCTTTAATTAAAACGCCTTTCGAGAATACCCAGCTTCGTCTTGCGCGGTGTCGAATGAAGCAGTTGGAACGGAAACTAAGTGCAGCAAGTAGCATCGAGAGGAATAAACTCTCGTTTCTTTCCCTTCGATTTACTTTCCCTCATCGGAAACCAATTGAATAACGCTTTGGTAACGCGTAGTTACCAAGTAACAAGAACGACATTTTCTTCTAACAAGGCTAAAGGCCAGGCTTATCTAAAGTACACGATCGACGGGAAAAAATTGGGCGAAGTAATTAAAAAGCTGATATCCCGTACTTGATCCAGAAGTGGTCGTAACGAGAACCCTATCCTGCCCCATGGACTCGTGTTCTCTCGGATCTTTCACCGACTTCTTCCTTCCAACCGAGACCTTGCTACGGAAGCTGCCACCGCGGGCATTCGTCCAGAAGTTAGTTATATTATCCACAGTCCTGATCCTGCAGGACTTTGACGAGCAAACGGAAGTTTTTCTAATTTTCTCGGACGACTTGCGTCCCTTCAGCGTGGCCAGATCATCCGCGTGACTGCTCTGCCAATCGAGACTCGCCCCGTCCTCAGTGTTCAAACAGCTCGCAGCTTCCTCTTCCTCCTCCTGCAGGACCACGTCGTTCACCGACAGGCTCCTAGCTTTGGAACTCGTGAACACAGGCCGATAGCTCCTATTGCACTCGAGGTACCTGTCCTTGTCGAACATGGCTCGATGGCTGCCTTCGTCGGCGAGTTTCGCCATCGTTTCGTCCTCGCTCGACCTCACGGAGTCCAGGACCACGGTCAACCCCGTGTCCACGCAGGGTTCCGTGGAGGACACGTCCTTACATTCGACATCGTTCGAAACGTGATCCGAATGCTCGGATTCGAACAGGAAACTGGAGACCGACGAGTCTAAAGAGCTGTCCAGGCGGAAAGTAGGATTCTCATAGGACACGTGGCTATCGATAGAACGGAAAACGTTTTTCCTCTCCCCGCTGGATATCGACGAGGTCTCCTCGTTGCTTTTCCACCGGAACATATGCGTCACCCTCGGTGACATGGTATCGTTGTACCTCTTCGACGACTTCTCTTGGTCCTTACGATTCTTCCCCATTATCCTGTCGGTCAGACACAGCTTGCTCTTTAGGTCCTTGCTGATTTTGCGAGACTCTAACTCGCTCGACGAAACCGTATCTTTCGAGTTGAGGCTCTCGAGTACCTCGTTATCGTTCCTCGAGGGACACTTCACGCAAGGATCTTTGGTGTTTCTGGCTGGCGCAGAGGCTTCCTCTGCCAGGGACAGCTTGTTTCGTTGTTTCTTGGAGTGCTGAGTTTGCAGCGATACCGGAGACAAGTCGAAGCCGCCGTTTAAACGCAGATTCGCGTGAGTTCGCAGCTTTGACATGAGTTTCATCGACGCTCGGAAGGACCTCGACCGTTTGAGGGTCGATATCCTGTCGCTGGACGACCGCCTTGAGAGCAATTCCATTTTGGGGCTGGACGTGTTGGAAAATTTGCGAAATTTCATCTGGAGGATTCTTCGACGTGTGCCAACGATACTTTTCTCGGCTCTTCCAGAGCTTGACCTAGTTCAGTCCAACTCGCATTCGACTCGTGGCGTCGCAGGTGCGTGGTACACCTCTGAGTATCGCATTTGAACGTTCGTTTGTGGAAATATGTACTTCTCGACGACGTGTCAATTTATATATTACATTTGCATTTCTTTGGCAAGCAAGGAAGATTATACTCGTTCTTCCTGGATCTTCTCAGGCACTTCTTTGGTTTGATAAAGCTGCAAAACGATGGACCACGTTTTCAGATATACCACAACGCTAACGATGATCTGGTGAACGTGTCACTAGCAGTCCTTCACCCAGGGAAACACGACGAACGATTTCTTTACGCGATTACGTATATGCAGGTGGAAGAGGTAATTTTAACAGAAATCCAGATTTCGAGAAGCATATTTCTACCGGCACAGGCAGATATAAACGTCTACTAGCATTACAGGCAGATATACTCCGCTTCTCATCAAGGTTAATAGCTCTCTTTACGACTCCATTAAAAACAGCGGCACGTGCAATTGCGCGCGTTCGGATAAAAAGTAAACGTCGAGATGGATATTCTTTGAGGAAGAAAGGAGGGCGAAATCAATGCAGCGATGAAACCGATAACGCGGATTGCATTTGAAACCGAGGGCTCCGCGGGGAGTCCCAAAATCCTACATAATTCTTCCCTCTCTAATTCCACCTCCAACGAGCACCCTGCGATTCGCCTAAACCGATGAATTATTCACCAGACGCAAGTACTACCGGAAAATATGATATTCGACGGGATTGATCGACGATTGTCGAGGAAAATCCGAACGAGAACTAGAACGAGACGCGATGGAACGAGGCTTCGAGATGGATGGACGTTGATGTGTTCCAGTTGAGAGACGCGTTTGCGAGGAACAAGAAGCCCGAATTAACGCGTGTCGAGCCGTGGACTGGTAGCCGAGTGAAACGATTTTATTATTTACTTAGGACACGCACCCGGTCAATTCCAGTGCGCCAACCACAATTGCCCATTACGAAGAAGTGGCCTGAACGTCGCCTCTTCCTCCTCGAGACGAGCGTGACAATTTGTTAGCCCAATCAAACTTATTGCTGGCGTCCGTGGCTGGTCGTCGAATCGACAAGATTGGGGGCATTGTATAGGCAGCGAGGATAAGAGTGGCATTAAAGGGGTTGAGATATGCGTAGAGGAACAGTGTAAACAGAGGTTCGATTTCTGAGAGAAAGCCAGATCGATTTCCGTTCCTATTTCGTGTAGAGAGCACACGCCTGAATCCTCGATTGTTTCCTTCTGTTACGGATTAACCAGCGAACTACGGATGCGTTCAGAGTAAATTTGCAGATGCTGCAATCTGTAGGGGCAAAGTGCTTTATCTGCGACTTTGTCTAGGATGAAAGCCCGTTTCCTTTGTATATCTTCGGAGAAATAGAAGTACTTGGTGCACGTTACTCCTCGATAGTCCCAGGATTAATTCTGACAACAGCCAAGTGTACGTTAAGCCTCGATAGTCCCAGGATTAATTACGACAACAAATAGACGTGCGTTGATCCTCGATAGTCCTGGGATCAATTCCAACAACTACGAGTATTTTAATCCTCGATCGTGCTCGGATTAACGCTGACAAATTTCTAGAAAACCCCTAGCCTCGAACGCACTTAATGCTTCCAACCTTCGCCTCGAGCAGCTTATAAACGGTAGGCAATCTACAGACCTTTCTGCAAATGCATCTCGCACGGTTATAGCGTGGCTTGAAATATACCGAACATTTGTCACCGATATGCGAATTTAAAGGCAAGAAATCGCTCGTGTACTCGACGAAGCAACTGGCTGGCGGAGTTTGCCCACAACGCTCGGGAGACAGTGTGGAAACCTGGAAATTGGACAGGATAGTGTGTCAGCGAATACAGTGAGGCTTCAAGTAAAGTGATATAAGTGATACAAATGACCTCGTGAGCCGAGGGTAAAAACATATCTTACCATCACAAAGGAGAACCGTAAATCGAATGAATCCGTGTATTCGCTCTTGCATCGACCAGGTATACGATCAATGGAATGTTTGATGTCGACGAAACCTTCGGTTTGAATATTAAGTATGTACAGATTTCTTGTAAATATAGGGGCGGGAAAAACGACGACGGGGGAAAAGCTTTATCGGAGAGCAAAGAGCAACGGGGAGCTCAGATAAGCCGCTAGAATTATGCGCAGAAAAAAAGAAGAAAAAGGATGCGAGAAAAAATCGATGAATATGAAAATCGTTGTACGAACGAGAAGAGGTGAGTGCAAATTAAACAGAACGACGGAAATGATATTATAAGTACAACGGTGATTAGATAAACTCGACAGACGGATGATTACATGAGCACGCAGATGGTCGAATTGCTGATTCGGAATCGCGGATAACAATTTAAACGGGATATAAAAGAAAAAGAAAGTGGGAGTTGGCAACGACCACGAGGCGAGGAGATAGAGGCAATGGCGAACGCACTTGAATCGATCGAGAGGAATAAAATCGCCTCTTGCGATACAGATTGGAGTTCGTTAGAAGTTAACGAGGTAATTACGCCTCGTCGAAATGATAATGGGATAATTAAAGCCCGAGGTAAGTAAATTGTCGGAGGACGATTGATTTGTCCAGGATCCCTCGATATCGTCAGACGAAATTAAGGAATTATCGACAATTATCGACTCTGACGCAATATACGAAAAAGAAAAATAATTAAAAAATAAAAAAAAAAAATAGAAAATGATTAAGTATTATCCTTCCGTAATTCTTGCTTCCATCTCTCTCTCGCTCGCTCGCTCTCCACTTCATCGTCAACGTTAACAACGGTACATCGATTTCTTCGTTGGAAAATACCTCGCAATGGTAGGAGGAGTAAAGAAAACAAAAGGAAAGAAGAGGATACGTGCCAGCGACTTCCTCTCGTTTTAACGTCCATTGTGCTAATAGCCACTAATAACGCTTCCGTTTCCCCTTTCTCCTTCGTGATTACTGTCTCACGATTGTTGCCACGAAAGATCCTATCGTTGTAATTCCCTGTTGAGATTTCCAACACTGTTAAGAACGAAAGCTACATCCACCACGATACACTGATACCTCGTCATAGTTTTCCAAATTCCTTCCATTTCTATGTGTTTTATTTAGCCGAGCATGCAAACGGCAAACTCCACCGGTTAACGAGGTTAGGAACAGATTTTCCCCCTCTTTCTTTTTTCCCGAACGATAGAAAAATGGTTGCCGCGATGAGACGCCGATTCCATCGGATGGGTTCCAATCCCGAGATATTACTTTTCTCGGGAGGCGAATGAAATTAGAACTTTTACTGCTTCCTCCTCGAGCAACGTTCGAGCAACTTTTTCGCGGCCATTAAGAGCTCTGCAACGAAAGTGGATTACATTAGAGGAAATTGCAGCGCGTTTTCTTGCCAACAGAGAAAATAAATCCGCCATTGCAGCGTGTAACTGACACGTTACAAAGGAAAAAACGAAATATATAGAAAGAACGAACGTAAATGTAGTAAATTCTATAGTTACGTTAACTTCGGTTCGCGATGAAACGTATCGACATTGACAACAAACGGGAAAAGGATAGGGAACAGACTAATAAACGAGTATCCACAGGTCACTATTTTATCTCTGTTCAAACGTCGACGCGTTGTCAGCGATGCAGAAATCCTGAAAAAGCGATTTGCGGCTAACGGATCCCTTTGCGCCAGCCACGTTTAGCCCGATGTATCGAGTAAAAAATCGAACGATCACGCACTGCTCTTTGATAATCCGCCGAAAGGAATACGGGATATTAGTGAAAAAAATCAGAACAAAAACTTGGAAACCTGTCTAGACAGATCGTAATTAAAACTACGTTGTTCCGCCATCTAACCCTTTTATAACGTCGCCCTCTATATCTTTTCGATAAACTACAATCAACTTCCTTCGCGCAGTTACCGTTCTTTGGCATTGTTAATATATCGTTGTTCCGTGACGAACCACGTTTATATTACGAACTACCGACCGTGAAATTAATGAATCGTGACGAAAAACACCACGGATAATCATCGAGTAAAGAAATATAGGTTTCTCGTGGCAATTCTTGTATATTTATCATAGCAAAATTAAGGTAAAGTTCCCTGCAAGATTGCAAATTTAGTATATATAAATAAGATAAAATTTCCGCGTACCTACAGCGGATAATTCTCAAACTACCGTGAAATTCGCTCATAAATGGTGTCATTCGTGAAATGTAGGGTAATTAGAACGCAGCGCACCCTAGCGCTAGGAAATGCAAACAACGTATCCTTTTGAGGCGTTGTCCTCCTTATCAAAACTCCGTCGGCGATAAACTGCAATCTACTTCCGTTCCCGCGTGAAACTACGGTTCTTTGACACCAGGAGGCGAACGCCTCCTTCCGCTCGTCAAGTGCTTCGAACTTGCTCAAGAAGCATACTTAATGAATTCAAACGAGGTGTTACAAAAACACGGTAACACTATGTACATGTACTCACTTACATCTAGTTATGAAGAAACTGTTTAGACTTTGAACAAGGTTTCTCTCATCTTTTCTTGATTATTTTTTTTTACTCGCTATTTAATGAATCGAGATAAGGAATAATTATTCGTGAAAGGAAATTATTCGCGTAATAAACACGTAGCTGAAACAAGTACTCGACTGAACACGCTTTTCATAACAAACGTAGCAATAATGTTGAGATTATGATTCCACGTTCGATAAAATTGCCGGATTAAGTCATGTTTTGAAAACGATACGATCGCTATACGATGGTCGAAAAGAAAGGCGATCGACGAGAATAAAATTCTTCGGATAAGTAATGAAAAATGAGGAGAAAAGCGAAAGAAAATGTCTGAACGGGTAGGAAAATGTCCATGAACAAATCTACTTATGGTTATGCAACCTTCCATGCATAGAGGTTTACCTCGCAAGGACGCACGTGCCTCCGTTCACTACCGTTCTCGAATGCCATCGAGAGCAAGTCGACCATTCGAGTCGAGATAGCGTTCATCGTGTTTCCCAAGAAGGAAAAGGAACAGCTCTTTCCTGAGAACAGCCATTTTCTGACATAATGCGTTTCTGCTTTCGTACATACTTGTAAATCATATTTTCGACGATTGAAAGTACTATTCAAAAGTATACTCTTTTTTTCTTCGCAGAAACTTTGATATTGTTTTAATAAGTTCGAACAAAAATTTACCAGATGTGAATACGTACAAAGAAGAAAGAATCCTGACAGACGTATCGACTGATCTCGCGACAGATGGTATTAAATTACATAGCAAAGATACTCGTCACGGCAAAAATGACTGTCTCCATACCAGATATACCTGCTAGCGTTATAGATTACCTGTATCACGAATGTTTCACTCCTGACACGCAATATTTACACACTTTGTGACAGATCGACGATTTCATTTACGGATATTACGTTTATACACACTACGTACTACTTTACGCGCATTAATTTACTACGACAACGTTAGTATTAAATTTATAAAGTTTATACAATTATTAATTTAACAGCGATCAAATTTGTCCAGCAAATAAGGCGCTATCTTTGTTTGTTTTATACAACTTTTGCAACTTTTCTCTTCTTAGCCGGTAATACATTTTGTAATAATTTTTTCAATTCTATTTAGAAAATTTTGGAAAATTAAGCATAAAGTTCGCAATTTACTTTCCTGTAACGATAAATCAAGAGAAACCCGCGAAAATTCGAACATTTATACCCGTCAAGCAAATAATCGATTTTTCGTACGTTACCGACCGAGGAGTGTCGCATGGAGGCAAGCGTCCCCTGTTCGAAACTTAACCTGTCACCTTTCTCGCACTTTTCATTCTGTTTCTCAATTCACCACGTTTCACAGCCAACTCGGAATCTCCTTACATGTCGTCCACCAACGTGTCTCGACCACGTAACCAGTTCTCACAACAGCCATCGAGAATTTCTTTTTCCAACCTCTCCATGTCGTTCGTTTCTTGTCGTTAGTCGTGCCGGGTGGCTACTTCTCGGTATTTCCTTCTCCCTTTCGGCTTTTGTCGATTCACATGCACACACTAACGATGACACGTTAACGTTAAACGAACGTATTTTCAAGCAGAATAAACGTCACATTTTTCACGAACATTTTTCGCCACGAGTTTCCCCCACAAACACTATAATGGTCGCAGAGCAGCGACAACGATGTGGCATTGCTGGCGGGTACACATGGAACGCGACCCTCGGCCGTGTGCCGAGCAAACAGCTGCCGTCTAGCCCCCACCAATCGGACGCCCCCATCGTTCCAGCACATCGTTTTGACCGTACCCTTCCACAGACTGCCTTTTTATCAATGAAGCTGTAACTTTCGATGGGGAGTCAAATAATTTCTTTGTTGCGAAAATATATATACATGGAAATTTTTAGGTAATTCGCAAATACAATTACCCTAGCGTACCGATGGCAGCATTTTCATGTATACACACGTGCCACGTTCTATTAAATATTCATTATGATGATTCTATAAAATTTATTTTTATGGAATATTTATTCCTTATGTATATGAAATATTGTTTACGATATTTGAAGTAGGTTTGTTGAATTTGCTGTACTTGGAAATCAGATGTTAAATAGCGAAGTGCTTTCTGAGTTATTAAATAACAATGGTACGATTGTTTGTGATAAAAATCTCACTTTCAGATCCCGCGATGTTGGCTGCGTCAATATTTGAACAAAGGTTCCCAGCCTGTGATGTTTTTTGATTGGCCATCTGTTTTATTTTTTTTCCTGAGAGCTATGAATATTTCTAACTTTGTGCACTGTTGGATTTAACTTCTGATATGATTTGCTAATTTTTCCGATTTCACTTTTCGCATAAAAAGGTAAAGTTATTGAAATTCCTTCCTATAATAAATTTTCATGCAGGAACTATATAGCTACGTGAATTGCGTTAATTCTTTCAAATTGCGTTCATTTTTTCCATACGAGTCAGCACAAGAATGCAGTTAGCTTTTCCGACGAACCCGTGAAAAATGAGAGTCAGGAGAGCATGATACCGTGACTGTTGTACTTCGTGCAAACTGTCTGATCGCGAGCAGGTATACGAATGTACAAAACCAGGTACATACAAAAGACGCACGTTTCCGGCGAGCACGTGGCACGAGCAGACACCGATATGCCTGCATTTCTGAAGACTTTTCGAGAATCCACTCTTGCATGTTAATGACTATCCTTTATATTCACGTAAACACCGTGCGGAATGCAAATACAGGTTTTGAAAGAAAATGCAAATGCATTCTCTCCGTTGTTCTTAAAACTATCTGCCATCAATTATGTACATGTATCAAGGTTGCCTCCAGCAATCTAGATCGTATACATTTGTAAATCATAGTTTCTACATCCAGTGTAATTTCAGGGTCCCGGAACTAAATTACAATTAAAATTACTTGTTTGCGAATGAGACCATTTGGATGCAAAGCTAACCAGCCAATGATAAAAGATGCATGCATTTCCCGAACAATATTACGAATGAAAAGCACAGAATTAGGGAAAGTAGTTAGTCGTTTTGTCGGGTGAAACTTGGCAAGGTAAGGAGTCCATTGTTCGATGAGAATTTAATTTCCACTCCTTTGGATGCAACGTGAACAATGCACGGTTTTGTTCGCACGAAAGAGAATTCATCGCCCCGACTGAATCCCCGTGCTGATTATGGTCGAAAATCTAACCTCTGTTTACAATGTATCCGCCGTTATCTCGTTAGATAAGTTTCAATAGAGAATTTTCGAGAAATATTACCTTGTATGGTAAAAACTGGAAACTCTATTCTACTCTTTTCATTCTTTCTCAAACAAAAAGATTACCCGACCATCGTTGGAATCCTATGTAATCCTCCCTTTTAATGATAAAAATAAAAGATTCTGTCGTGAAATGTTTCAGAAATAAAGGAGAATTAAGAGAAAACGAAGTGACACAATTGATCGCCAGAAAGGTCTGTTCTCCAGTTTCTCATTAAGAAGACAAACCACAGCGTGGGTTTAACAAGCTGTAATTAGTTGACCTGAATGCACGTGTAAGTCAGCGCTGGTTCCCGATTTCCCGGGAAATTATTTTCGACGTTTATCCCCCGCAGGGAATGGGAATAAGGGGTCGAGTGATGCGCGTACGGAATTAGATTTAATAAATTCGTAGCGATAGGAGCAGGAATTCTCTCGTGAACCAACGAGGAACGAACTTCGTGGACGTCGACTGACAGGTCTCGAGAGGGCTGTAAAACGAATGTGAGACAAACGGCACGTAAAAGCACTCGACGACAACCAATAAAACCGCGGATAAAGCCCGAAAGTGTTTTCTCCGATATTTTAATGAAAAATTCAACGGTTCAGGTGTAATAGTTCATTACGATTGCATTTCATGGCACTAGCTGATGCAGTGTCGACATGAGACTTCGATTAAATCGACTAGGGAATACTCTTCGATTTTCCACGAATTTTGATATCAATTTTCGAAATGAATTTATATCGTAAGTTATAAACTTGGATTAAAATTATAACGTTTGTTCATTTTTCGACATCCGTTTTATATAATTCTTCGTAGTGACTTTAATTACTGGGTGCAATTAAGGCTGCTGAAGTGCTATTAATGCACGCCTTTGTAACTTGCCAACTGGGAAACTATATGATCGGTCATTAAAAAAAGTGAAACCTCGTAATACACTTTTATACGCCCTTTCTACGTTGCTGGAAATTTCTTCATTGTTGGAAAAAAGATATTGTACATATGACGTGTCATAGATATACGTGTTTCAGGTATATTTCTGCCAATTTGGAAGAACGGTTGCAATTAAAACCGCTGCAATGAAAAATGGGTCAAAGAGACGGTCATATCAGGAAGGAAATACGGTGGAATGTGATACAGTAAGCCAGTATGCGTTCGATTCAGGAAACGTGTGTACCAGGAGAACCATAAAACGCGAGTCACTACGGGAATTCCTGGTTCGTTAGAAGCCCATAAAGTTACTGTCTCCTGAAAAGGTAAATCTTTTGGAAAATTCAATTCCTCAGAAGATTTTACGCATCTCATAAAAAGAGATAAAGTAGCGAACTTACCGATTTCTAAAGAAACGAATATTGCATGTCTAAATCAATTTTTTCCAGGATTCTTTCCACAGTGGAAAGGATGGAACTGGAAATTACGAAAGGCATGATATCGATTTTTACGGGAGGTAAAGGAGAAAATGGAGCGAATAAAAGATAACGAGAGTCGAAATCTTCTACAGAGGCACAAGTTAAAGCGTCAGTTGATCCAATTTTCTGCCATCCTATTCGGGACAATTTGGTAAACTAATGGGCCGGTTTAATTAATCCGTGTAATTGGAAATGACCGCAACAGAATAGGGTTAATCCCGTTAATCAGGACAATTAATCCCATCGGGTTTCAATTATAGAAAAATTAATAGACACACGTTGAATATAAACTGGTCAGAGATTGCCTAGCAAAGGAGTCGAGGAATTTATCGATTTTCGAATAACTCGATCGATGTTCTTCTCACCGAATCACCACAGTAATCTCGCATAATCGAGAATGAAAACGGAACGTTTACATTTCGAGGGATTTTCCAACGACCACGGAGATTGAAAATGAAACGAGATGGATTTTAAGAAATAAATAATTCACCGTGCTACTCTCAGTCGGCGAATTTCATTAAAATTTCTTATTACGTTTTAATCGAGGTACATGCTCTTAGGATTTTACCGAAGTGCGAAGAAGACAAAGCCTGTACTTCAGTTTCCTGTTAATTACCACGGGATCTAATTATACTAAGTATCGTCCATTAAACCAGCGATTCCAGCGTGGAAATTCTAACTCGGCGAAGAACCGTATCCCGGCCATTTTGTCCATGATAATTAATCTCCAGTACAAGACCGAGTTCTTTTCTTTTCTCTCTCCCTCGTGGAAAAATATTTATTAACGATCCATCAGAATTGACGAGAGCATTGGTACTGCAGCGATTCGTTCGAATTTTAATCTTGCTCGTTTCATCGTAACCAGATAAATCTCGGATAGATATTAATTCCGACGAACAAGGGTGGAGAAAGAAGAAGAGCGATGGAAAAATCCGATATCAGACACGATTTCGATTCATGATTACCACTGAAATCGTTCCGTTTCGTTCGCCATCGGGACGAATTTTATTCGAAGAATTCTGAACGAATAAGTTAGCATAAATGAGGAATCGTCGAGGAATTCTAGAAAAACGAAGTCACTGGTGGTGAGAGATACATAGGGAGAAAGAAAGGGGGATCATAAGAGGATAATGCATTTTCTACATCACGAAAGGCGGTTTATACTCGCATAACTCGCACGTGCATTATGCAGTTACAGCACTTCGGGGCATTAATACTTTCCACGTGAAATATGCGAAGCTTTCGTTT